TATTACATCCTGCCCTGAGATGCAGTCAGGTATGTTATTGAAATGCAGTAGACAACTTTACTTTGGCAGATACCCAGAAATATGTTGTGAAAAACTGTAAAGATGTATAAAAATTGATCATGTAGCATGGTTTAATAAAAGTAAGTACATAAGCACTCAAAAGTAGAAGTTGGATAAAAAAAAAGAAGTAGCATAATCTTTCTTACTGCAACCTGGAAGACTCTTACTAATGTAATAGAGATGTCTGTAATAGAATTTGTATTGCATTTGTGTATTACATTTCATACTTTTCCACCTATACCTTTTGTCCTTGTCAGCACAAGTATTCTTGGTACCTTTCCTTTTTTCGTCTTCTTTTTATCTCATTATTTACTGTAACAATAAAACAAAAAAAACAACTATAATAACACAGAATAATTCTGATGACAATTATCATCAGAATAAATCCCCCAAACAAAAGATAGCAATTGTAACCACATAATTTGTTGGGCTCCCTTTCCTCCCCCCTACCACCACCACCACAGACAAACTTCTAAAGCTTTAAATCCTTTTTTTTTTTTTTTTCTGTCCTCATTTGGATGAATTTTCCTCAGTGAAACCAATGATTCTTTTTGCCTGAGAAAGAAGAGGATTAAAATTAAGCGATAGGTTCAAGATGCAGTCTTGCACTAAAAGGATGTCTGTTCTTTTTCCCCTTTGCATCTGCCCATGCAGCCACTTGTATTTTAAGTGTTCCTTCCCACCCCCAGATTCATCTGGTCATGACACTGCTCAGGGATGACTAAAGCAGCACACAGGAGCTTCATGTGACCATGTTGTCACTTGGGATCAATTTTTTTCCCTCTTGGTTCCTCTCAAACATTCCCAGGGGCCATAGTGCACAAGCCTATTGCTCCCTCTAGAGCCCTTCAGTGCTATTCTGGGGGACCACTTCAATAATCTTTCATCATACTAGACGTGAGCTCACTGCTCATTTTCCTTTCAGCCTCTGTCAGGTGGCATGCAGACTGAATGTCCTGTATTGCAGTGTGGAGCATGGGCACAACACCTTCAGATGCTGGGGTGTTGAAGGGTGATCATCACCTTTTGCTGATTCAGGAGCAGTGTTGCTGAGCAGGCTCTGTCAGACAATATTATGCTTTGTGCATCCTCTTAGTTCTTGCAGATTTGAACAGCATCAGGGTATCTCCTGAGCAATCCTATAAAGTCATGAGCTGGGGACAACTGTTTTAATCCATCTGACCTCAGCTGTCAAATTAACAGTGACTCTTGAGGGCACTTTTGATAAAACAGTCTCTAGTAAACCCTCCAACAGAGTCTTTGGGTGTCATTTGAAAAGTCAAGATGGTATTTTGGCCAGAAATGGTACTGTTTCCATTATATTTTATAGAAGGGTTCTGACCTTAATGCTCTTGCAAAAATAAACATTACCAAGCAATTTTTCCTATCCTAGTTGAGAGGGAAGGCTTGATGGAAGCAGTGAGTCCTGTGCTCTGCCCTTACACGTATGAGGGTGTGCTTGATGTCTGTGGGACGGCTTTCCAAAGGCAGAGCCCTGTCCCACATCTGGAGAATTTAATCCTTGTGCTGATGAGGTGCTGTGTGCCTAATACTAGGAACTGCCAGGAGGGAGCAACAGTCTCTGAAGTGTCTCCTGCATCCCAGTGAGGCACAGCTTGACACTGACATCACCCGTCAGCCCTTCCGCCACTCAGCAGGCTCCCGTTATGACACAGTAGCAATTGGCTTCCGCATACCGGGGCATGCACCACAGACCCAGGCTGCTTTCTGTATGGTCTTCTGTAGATTTATGGGACTGTTTAACCCAGAGGGTCTCAGATTTTGAGATTTAGCTAAGGGAGGGCTATATGCCAGCTTGCTTTGACTGCTAGGATGTCATCAAGTTGTCATCATGACTCTGGGAGGAACCCAAACCAGGCCAGTGTTTCAGAATGCCTTTGTGGGGTGCTTGATCCTTTTTTACAGTCACTAGAGAGGTCAGTCCATCACTTAGGCTGGCTGACTCAGTTTTGGTGGCACCTACCATCAGTTCTGAGTTGAGCAGAGACACTAAGTGCTCAGTATAGGTCTTTTGACAATAGTTAGGAGGTCCACTTACTTGGGCATCAAAAATCAGGGCATCTAATATGTGCTCCAGAGCTAGGGAGTCTGAATACAGCCTCCACTGACTAATCTGGTATTGCTTCCACCACTTTAGTCTGCTGCATGTTCCTTGTGTGTGTGTGTATGTGTATTATGCAAGTGTATGTTGAAAATAAAAAAAAAAAAATAAATTATCATGACTGTATTATAATACATAAAAGAAAGGAGGAGATGTTTATAGTCCTGTTGTTATCCCAGAACAGGTATATCCATAAACCACAATTTTCACTAATGCCTCCAATCTAAATCTACCTTCATTAACCAGACTCATAAATGATGAATAAGAAGCTATGAATAAAAGTGATAAAACCACTTAATAAAGCTAAATTTAAAAGAAACAGAATAAACAGAAGAAAAACACAGCCAGAATTATTGTTAAGCAGCAATGAATGACATGTAGGTTTATGGTTATATAGTCCTGTGGTTAACCAGTATGTGGTTAAAGAATAGTCTTCTGTCAACAAGAAGTAAGCTAAGTATCTTCCTGCTTTTGCCAGCTTGTGTCACAACCTTATACAGCCTCTGAGATCTAGTCTGTTCTGTAGAAAACCTTTAAAGTAATCTCACCTCCCTTTTCATCTTTATTTTGGTCTTGTAAACTGGTAATCTGACCACATTTTATACTGCAGTTCACTACTGTTATCATTTTTTTTCCTGCATTTCTTTTCTATCTGGAAAATCCAGAAGAGCCTTATAAAGATATTAATTGACTACAGATTCCAGCAGAACAGCAGGATCATTTTACCTAATGCATCAGCAGTTGGGGAAAAAAAAAAAAAAGGAAACAAACAGGAAACAAGATGGAAATACTGCAGATTAGTAAAGAGAATAAAGTATATTTTCAAAGACTTTCAGTCTTAGTGATCAAGTTGTATATAATGATATAGGGAAACTATTTTGGAAAGAGGGAAGATCTACAGGTGCCTCTCTGATGTTTGTTAAGTCTAATTCTGTGGGTGATAATGTATTTTGGGAGGACATTTACTAAACTTTATTACCAATGCCTCATAGAAAGATCTGTTGTGCTCGTGGAGAAAGATGAACAAAGCTGTAAAGCTTTTCTCATGTCATTTGGTATTTAAAGAACGTCAAGAACACAGCCTTCCTTAGTCTGGGTAGATGTAGCATCCAAGAGTTGAGGGCCAAAGGCAGGGACCTGAAATGACTTCTGCTTCTGTTGCAATCCTTTCTGTGTCAGGGACTGCTTTCTAGAGAGAATGTGGATGTGGGAAGACACTGCCCTGGGATTTGCAAGGCTTGTGTTTCAGCCCCTGTTTTCTAAGGGCTGTGTTTTCAGGATTGTAGCTGGATTTAGTTGCAAATGCCAAAGTGTTTAGCATCTCTGGCCACAGGCTTCCTGTGAGATTGTGGCCAAGACACTTTATCTCCCCGCAGTTCCTCATCTGTAGACTGGTGAGAATACCTCCCTAATTTACAGGGACGTGATGAGGATAGTTTCCAGTAACAGCTCTGTGTGTGTGCGCACCGTGATGTTGATGCAGGCCATTAGCACCAAAGTAGGAACTGCATTAAGAAAAGTATTGAACTGCAAGTGAATGTGCATAGGGAGGGGGGAAATATTGCTGCTAGAGGCAGGCATTTATATTTACATTTATATTTAAATTTATATTTATTTATATAGATAACTGAAACAAACAATAAAAATGGGAAGTCTTAGAAGGGAAGAAACTCGGCACTCAGGAGGGCTGGAGCCAAGTGGTAAAATGAAGCAGGCAGATCTGTGTGGGAAAGCTCCCACAGCATGTGCCCAAAGGAGGAGAACTTCCAATTTTCTTACAACAGTTCCTGTTTATCTAACTTGGGGTGATGTCCCTTGATGTCTCTTACTGATAACCAAGATTCCTGTCAGTATCTTCGTCCTTCGTGATGCTGAGATAACTATGCTAAACCTGCTGACAGGCAATGTTTTTATTGTTGTCCGGGCCAAACCCATAATGAATGCATATATGAGGTCTTATCAAAGATGTTACTTTTGTTATTTAAAAAATGCCTGAAGTAAATGCTGACATTGGCCTAAAGCAAATCCAGGGGTAGCAGGATCTGAAGGCATTGCAGTTGCAAGGGGATGCGAAACTCTCCCCAGCAGCCGTCAAAACCGAGTACTTTTCCCAGCTTAGAGCTGTGGCATGCACATAATTTTGAAAAGACCTTCACAGTTTTCTTACTGAATAATAGGGACACTAGGCGTAATACTCTACTATGTCTTCATAAAATGTTTTAATTCTCTGTGGACAAGCTGTAGAGATTTTGTTTTCCATTCCCTTGTTTCTTGGCATTGCAGTAGCAGAGTATTTTTAAAGGGTTCTGGTTTGCAATATGGAATTGATCTAATGGTAGCTTCAACCACAAAGCATGGGATTTTACAACCTTCCTAGGGGATCTGAGCACCCAGTTCTCCTTAATTTTAACAAGTGCTATTGATGAGTTTCTCATGCCAATTTTGAAAGAGTCAGACACAATTTCTAAGCCTCTGTGAACTAACCCCCTTTAGAAAATACAGATACCACACCAGCAGTCATGTAGATAAGATAAACTCTAACTGTTAGAGGTAACCTCCTTTTGTTTTTATGAAGTGTAGGTCATTTAAATATAAATTAATTTTTTTTCCAAAGGCTTTGAGCGGTTGCCACAAAGGGAATGTATCCAGCACCAGGCAGCTGTGCGGTTACGCAGCCTGCTCTCTGGGCACATATCTTTCTTGAGAATTGCACTGCTGAAGTATATTAGTGCCTCTTGGTGTCTTCGAGTGCTATCTGAAATGAGGAGTACACCTTTTCTCAACATGTGTGCTCAGTAACATTTTTTTCCTGTTGCAGGGAAGAGCTTCACACTGACTATCACAGTCTTCACAAATCCGCCGCAAGTAGCCACATACCACAGAGCCATCAAGATAACGGTGGATGGACCTCGGGAACCCAGAAGTAAGTGAGCTAAGGACAGCATCTGCAGAAGGCCAGGTTGATGGTTTAGCATTGGGGTCAATCACCTCATTAAATGCAGCAATATCCACAATATATCCAGTGCGTGTGGAGCAGTGGGTATGTTTTAAACCAAAGGTGTCCTATGAATGGTTGTGTAATTATGCCTTCCTGAGGCCTCATTTTTCATGGGTGTCCAGCTGAGCTAGCATATGACTTGCACTGCATTTCTAAAGTATCTACCCAGGGATGACTTGGATCATACCCAAAAGATGACAGAAGGGATGCTGGTAAAAGGTGGACAGCGTATACCTTACGCATCATTTCTTGCTAGTCTTGCCTTTCAGATGTTAAGAGGATTTTAAAGCATTGGAAACCAATATGACATTGATCTAACTTTTCAAGCTCAGCTACCCTGCAAAAAGAAATAAATGCCTGAGAGAAGACACCTGGTTGCTGCCTTGCACAGTTTGCTGTACCTCGTGCTGTTGTATAGCTTAGGAGCACACATTTTCATGGGCAGTCAATCTGTCCTCTTTTTTTTACTTTCCTTTTTTAAGGATTAAGTACAGGAGGGAGATGATTGGTTTGATATCTCCAGGGGAACACCCACACCATTCACAGAGGCTTTTGGTTTTTTCAGGTGGTGGTGAGGGCAGGCTGTTCTCTCTGGAGGTGAAGTGAGGGTGGAGCAGATCTGTAGGTATAGATGCTTCTGCAGCACATACGGTGCCTGTTACCACAGGCAATCATTAACCTCAGTCACTAGCCCAAATGGGGCATTTTCATACTTTTATCAAAATGCCCTGATGTAAATTGAGGTTTGTGGTTAGTTTCTTGCACTCCTGCATTCTTGGCAGAAGTTCTGGCTGTTGCTTCAGTGAAATCATCCTGGGAGAAGAGAACAGGAGGATTCAAACACCCACTAGAGAATGAGACTTGCAGCTCAGTGTTGCTTAACTGGGTGGAGGAAGAAAAGAAAGGTTTGAAAATTCAACTTAGATTAGAAAACTCATGTCTTGCTTGTGCATTTTCTTCTCAAGCCTTCATTTGTCTGAGTTACATCATGATGCTGCATGCATTTGGTGCAAAAATCTGACCTATATTTTTTTGGATTTGAGGCCAGACTTTAAAGCAAATAATATAAAGTTGGTATAAGGCTTCTTATTTAGTTAGTATTGATTTTTTTTGGAAAATTCTAGTTGAATTTTGCCTGAAAAATATTCCCAGTGAACCAGACAGCTGTGCACATAAAAAAGATATTTGTATATGCAAGTTCCAGATTTGCATATGCAATTACCTGGGCATGTTCATAGTTTGCAGACAACAAATAAGCTTCAGGTTTTTTTTAATATGAGTCTGCTACAACATTAAGAAACAGAATCATCCTTCAGGCATACCTTTTGTTCTAAATCAATTCTTCACTTGGTGGAATAGTTAATATTTAATAAGATTCTATATTTTAAAAAGGAAGTAGAGATATAATGCATACTGAAGCAACATATGTATCTTCCCCACTCAAATGTATGCAAAAGTTTCCGTGTAAATAATTTCAGTTTGTCATAGGCAAATCAGCTGCATAGTGGAGGAAGCTTTACGCATGTCAGGAGGAGAGGTCAGACTCACCCCTCAACAGGCATGCACAGCTCCTTTATCACTGTCATTCATGACACAGTGTAGAAGGGATTATGGTCCTTTCATTTGGAAGTGGGCTGCAAAGTCCTTCGATTTGATTTCTCACCACGGGTTTCTGAATCACAAGTGTCTGTTGCCATCAGCCCGGGGTCTCTTCTTCTCTTTACACGTTTGACTCTGATACAGCTTGGCCTGAGACACGCCGCAGGCTGTGAAGGGAAAAAGAAGTGATGCCCTATTCATTCTCCATTCTGACAGCGTTCTGGCGAGTTTGGTCTGGACATTTATTTTTCTATGCTTTTGCTCAGCAGATGTATCCTATTTTGCATTGGTTCAATGAGGTCATGTGTAGCCTGTACAAAAATATTGCAGGACTGTTACCTGCACAAAGTCTTATACAAGATTTCCAGTTAGACATATCAAAACGTGCATGTTGTATACTGAAGGAATTTTAAATTATATTGACCTTCTTTACTGAGACTAGAATAAAACCAAAACTTGCTAAATTAGAATGTTTCTAGTTTCAGTAATTGATATTTGTGAACTTTTGTGCTTACAAACCCATGACTCACTCGTTCACTTGAGCTAAAGGAATTACAGAAATACTGAGATGTATTTTCTAAGATGTCTTAACTCAGAAGAAATCTATGGGAGACTGTAATGGGAACAAAATTAGATACGGCTGTCTTACAGAAACCTAGAAAAAACTTGCTGAAGTCAAAAACCAACTCCAGCAACAGTTTTCAATTCATTTATGTTATGTTTATAATGATTCTCAGACAGTCTGAATTCTAGTGAGTGCCTGCATTCTCTGTGAAAAATGCTGGAAGGTAAGGGGCCATCTCTGAGGGTAGAGGCCATCTGAGACAAGAGTCAGAACTTCACACCAGGATAAATTTTTAGACCGCTTTAGGACAATTTTTAGTCAGCTTTACAGGACATAAAAATACTTTTATTTATAAACCTTTAAGATTAACTCAAATAACGGAAACATTTTCTTTTGCCTTCAGAGAATGTCAGATCAAGAGCAGAATTCTGAGGCAGAATTAGATGGATTCCCAAAGAGAGGGCCTGCAAACTTTGTGTTCTTGCCCATCCCATGTACATTGGGTCGCAGTTACTGTGATAGCCAGGTCTTTGCCTACCAGCGTATTTGCCTGTGTGACTACTGGATTTGCATTTACTGTTGTGAAAAATACTCCTGTGCAAGACTTATACCATTGTCCTTTTTTTGCTGTTGAATTCCTGGCTGTGCCTATCCAGATGATACTTCTCATCAAAGTGGCTTGTAGATGAGAGCCAAAGTACTTAAGAATCTGGCTCTTCCTCCACTGCTTTCATTATGTATTTTTAAAATCTCTTTTGAACTTAGCATTTTATTCTCAGGCTCTGAATAAATGCTTATTTTCAAAATTTTTTTTTTTTTTTTGGTAAAAAAAAATAATACTGCACTGTCAGGGAGAAGGGCAAAATGACCTAACCCATCATTTTCTTCTCCAACTTCTGTGATACTATGATTCATAAAGCAATTTGTGTTTTTATGAGCTAAGTCTGTGGGGAAAATCATTAGCAGTAACCAGATCAAGAGTAGGGCTCCTGATGAAAATACTTTTGGTTAGGAAACTTGGTAGAAATAGTATGACTCTTAAATTAAATATTTCCCTTAGGCCATTTGACCTACTGTGTACATCTGCTGAAAAATTATCTTTTTCTTCTTTTGACTGCTTCTTTCTGTTTTTCTCATTGAATTGTTTTAATCTACATAGTTCTGAAAAATTCACTAATGTACCAAGTGCCTGAAAATGATGCAAAATGAAAAGGCTGCATGGATTCAGCCCCAGTGGTCCTGAGATGTCCACGGTTAAACTGGGCATTAAATGTGGTTATCCTGTATTGGATATGTGCTTTTCCCAAATACTTTATTGGCAACTTTATACCAAGGACCAGGATACTGAGGAGTAGAGAGAGAATAATAATATTGTTGAGCAGGATTTGAGAAGGAGATTAAAAAGCCATTGGCCCAAGAAGTACCTTTGTAGGAATGGAAATTTCTTTTTGTCTCCTGACCAAGCTGGGGGGACGAGGACAGTTACACCTTTTGTCAACCACAGTTAAGGACACGCTCAGACCGTGGTCTGAATTGATCCTGTCTCACTTGTTAGGTTTGAAGAAAGACTGTGGCCTGTAGCTGTTCTAAAGGAAATCTTCAAACACTCCCTTGCCCAGACAGAGGTCATTTTTAGGGAATCCCGCGGTACTGGTGGTGTTCAGTGCATCTGATCTGCTTATCCTTTCCCCTGCCCCATCCAGCCTTTGCCTACAGTCTTAGATGCACAGAGCAGCTACTGGGAGGAGAGTCACATCCCTCATCCTATGGCAGAAACAAGGAAGACTATGCACATCAGACTGGGGAAGGATGATTCCACTGAGGGTTTCACATCACTTCCATGTTCAGCCTTTCACACAAGGGAAAACCAAACCCTTCTTCAAAAAACCTTTACATCTCAGTGCGATGAAATAATACTCAATGCCTTCATTTCTTGCTTGCCTTCTCCTGTAAGTGCCTCCATCTGTTGGAAACCGAGATTAACATGTACCAATGAACAGTATAGAAACCCTGAAAAAATGAATCATGAATCACCGTGTCATTGGAATAGACCCACCATATAAACTTCAGTGATGGCTTTTCACATACTTCTGTTCACCTGGAGACTTACAGTGCCTAAAATTAGCAGCAAATGTGTAGAGTAAGAAGGTGGTGTTTACAAGTTGATTGTATAACAGAAATGCAGCAGGGACTCCTTCTTCCTTTGCTAGCACTAGCTGCATGCTCCACAGCACAGCAACCTCTTAGTATCACAACTAAGCTTTGCTAATCACTTTTTAAAAAATCTTGGCTAAGGTACTTGCCCCCAAGAGCTTCCAATCTAAATAAACTGTGTACAGACAAAAGAAAGGGATGGGCTGCAAGAAAAGCTGACTGTTGCACACAGCTGGGTCTGTGCCTGTGTGTTTGTGTCCCTACGTCCTATTGTCTGGGTGACACTGATGTGGGTGGACTAGTGCTTAAATTATGAGTGCACTCTGGGGACATTTGTAGTTGGCTTGTGCAATGGTTATGTGCAAGCGTGCAGCAGCTGAGGGAAGTTACAAAACATGGCTAGGTCAAAGTCACACAATGTGACTTGATGCATTGCTGCCCCTAAACGGGTTTAGGCTAGGTTGAGTATCACTGTTGGTTTCCTTTCTCAGTGTGTTTCTCTTTGAAGGGCAGACAAAGAAGAGCAGTTATATCTGTTTAGATAAAATAATGTGGTGTATTATTGCAGGGGCATGCTTGCAGACTGAAGGAGCTGTTTCTGAGCAGG